AATGAAATAATATAAAAATAATTTTTTTAAATATTTTAATAAATATATAAATCAAATTGTATTTTTAATATGTAATTTAATTTGTAAAATAATTTTTTTCCCTTAAGGTAGAAGAAGATCTTATAATTTTTATGAATTTTCTATCTATTACTTTGTTTTCCAAGGGTTCCATTTCTTTACCATCTGTATGGAATGCTATCTTTGACTACAGCAAATATAATTGTTTAGAAAAAATTTGAATTCATATCCTTTAGGTTGGTTTCTGAACTCCCTCAAAAGCAGGCTGAATGGAATGGTGTAGCGGTGAGCCTACCATAATCAGATATGATTCCAAATTTCCCCTTTTAAAATGATTGTAAAGTCTTTTTGAACGAATGAAAAATCAACCTTTAGGTACAGCGAACAGATCGCAAGATTAAAAAAATAGACATTAGTTGTTATTGATGTTGTTCTTTATCATTATTCGTTAAAATAATTCTTATACATGTTCTTACCATCAAAATGTTTTATACTTTACATAATAGTAAAAAAAAAAAAATTGTTTTAGGTATTTAAAAGTAATGTTCTCATAGACATAAAATATCTTAAATTGGTGTGGTATAATACAATAATGAGATAAATTCTTTTGTTGTTGTTCAAAATGTAAAAACTTCAAATCTTGGTAAACTTCTTTCACTGAAAGGGAGAGATTTTGAATTCGAGTTGTATGATATATAGATAAAGTGAGATAAAAGATGTAAAAAAGTTGTTTCCCGTGTGCAACCAACATAAAAAAAAAAAAAAAGAAATAAAAAACTTCAAACCCAGATTAAGGTGTACAAGCAAGATCAGCTTCTATATTACTTTGAAATATAGTTGACTTGACGATCAATAACGTTCATCCAAACATCCCAATGACATTCTCAGACAAAACTATTCCAGAAAAACTTCTCCCTAACCAAATAAGCCCTTAACCAAAAATATACCCTTTGGGTATGGAATTGTTGATTGTCTTTAATTCTGTATCAAGGTTAATGGTTCAAGCCTAGTCAAATATAGCCACAAACTTGGAATCTGGACCACTCGCTGTAAGAGGATGATAATTGGCAGAAACCTGACGACACAAGTTGAAATTAGGCACAAAAATCAGATTTGTATAAGGTTTAGGTTAGGCTAACTTGACCTATTTGCATGATCAATGATACCAGAAATATACTACTAGACCAGGGTATGAACGTTTCACAATGCTTCAGCTATGCAGAGAAAATGT